GACTCAGGTGCAACCGATCATATGACTTTTGATAAGAATTTATTTACTAGTATGACAACGAGTTCACGAAAATGTATTGCAACTGCCAATGGACAAACAACACTAGTTTTGGGGGCTGGCACGGTGCACCTCACATCGGCCCTTCCTCTTCATCATTGCCTACTTGTTCCCTCGTTGTCTCATAATTTGTGATCTATTCCTCAAGTTACTGAGCAATTAGATTCTGTTGTGCTTATGTATCCACTTTTTTGTTTACTTCAGGATATTCAGACCAAGGCGATAATTAGGTGTGGCACTAAGAGAGAAGGGTTATACTATGTGGATTACGTCGTTCCTGGCAGAGCTAATGCAGTTCGAGCATCCCGTACCAATAATTTACAAGAAATTTGGTTATTGCATCGTCAGTTAGGACATGCTTCGTTTGGTTATTTAAGGTATATGTTGCCTAGTTTATTTCATGCAATAAAAGAATCAGACTTACATTATGAAGTATGTATTCTCACAAATAGTCATCGTGCTTCGTTTCCTTTTAGTATGAATAAGAGATTATTACCCTTTAATCTTGTGTACTCAGATGTTTGGGGTCCCTCCCCTGTTAGTATTTTGTCTGGCATTAAGTGGTTTGTTACCTTTGTGGTTGATTGCACACGTATGACGTGGATTTATGTGATGAAAAATAAAAGTGATGTGAGTATAGTCTTTCGGTCCTTCTCCAAAATGGTTGCAACACAATATTCCTCTGTTATTAAGGTTCTCCGCTCTGATAATAGAGGTGAATATATTGGTTCCAAGTTGTCTAACTTTCTTCGGGATCAAGGAATCTTGCATGAAACTACTTGTCCTCATACCCCATAACAAAATGGAGTTGCGGAGAGAAAGAACCGTCATATCTTGGAGACTGCCCGTGCCTTGCTTATTGGTGCATCCGTACCTAACCGGTTCTGGCATGATGCGGTCACTTATGATGTGTATGTCATTAACCATATGCCATCCCGGGTGTTGGACTTTCGTACACCTCTCCAAGTGTTAACGGAGTTTGTTCCAGTCGTGTCCACCAATACCCTTACTCCCCGTGTCTTTGGGTGTGTAGCTTATGTTCATATTCATAAGATTTATCGTAGTAAGTTGGATCCATGTGCCCACCGGTGTGTTTTCCTTGGTTTTGCTCCTCAACAGAAAGGGTATAAGTGCTACCATCCTGAAACTCGCCATATGTATATGACCATGGATGTTACTTTTTCGGAGTTCGAGTATTTCTATGTTTCGATTCCATCACCTTCTGATCAACAGGGGGAGAATATTATCGGTGATCTTGGGTGGTTGGAAATATGTGGCTTAAGGAAAGAGTGTACTGAAGAAGGGAGCTATGAAAGCTCTCGGCATACTGCAGAAATGAGCCGTGAAGGCTCACAGCAAGAGCCTATCGAGCACTAGAGTTTTATTCAACCACCTGAGCCCTCTTGGCAACATCTTGCCGAATGTGATGAAGAAAGTCGGCATGAAGCTGTCGAGCCCCCGTCACACCATTGCCTACCGAACCCGCAACCCCCTCTCTCTCGACTTCGATAGTGCCACCCAATATGTCTCCTCTTAATATCCTTGAGGTAAGTACTACTGGTACTCATCTAACTAATCCAGATAACATTGTGAGTACATATAAGTTGTCACTAAGGCAAAATCATGGTGTTCCTCCTGACAGGTTTTCTCCTGAAGGAAAAGTGAAGTATCCAATTGCTAATTATGTGTCGTGCTCGAACCTTGCCCCGGAACGCCAAGCCTGGGTAAATAATATAGAAGCAATCCAAGCACCAACCAGAGTTAAGAAGGCCTTGAAGGATCCTAAATGGGCTGCTGCAATGGATGAAGAAATGATGGCATTACATAAGAATGATACATGGGAAGTAACAAAGCTACCTAAAGGAAAGAAACCGGTTGGGTATAAATGGGTCTTTACAATTAAATACAAAGCAGACGGATCAGTAGACATGTATAAAGCAAGGTTAGTGGCAAAGGGTTATACTCAGACTTATGGTGTTGATTATCAAGAAACTTTTTCTCCAGTGGCGAAGATGAATATAGTACGTGTTCTAATCTCTTTAGCTGCAAATCTGAATTGGCCACTGAAACAATTTGATGTAAAAAATGCTTTTCTTCACGGGCATATGGAAGAAGAGGTATATATGGATTTTCCTCCAGGGTTCAATACTGGAGGGAAAACCGGAGTATGTAGATTGTTAAGGTCACTTTACGGACTTAAGCAGTCACCTCGTGCATGGTTTGGAAAATTCACTCAACTGATGAGAAGAATTGGGTATTTTCAGAGTCACTCGAATCATACATTATTTGTGAAACAAAGAAGTGGAAAAGTGACAGCCTTAATTATTTATATGGATGACATGATAATAATGGGTGATGATACAGAAGAGATGATGAGGCTAGAGCAAAACCTAGCTGCCGAATTTGAGATGAAGAATTTGGGAGATTTGAAATACTTTCTTGGTGTGGAGGTTGCTCGGTTATCTAGAGGTATTTTCTTGTCTCAACATAAATATGTTCTGGATTTATTAAAAGAAACAGGGATGCTGGGATGTAAACCGGTGGACACTTCCATCGTGGAAAAACATTATTTGGGGATTTATCCAGATCAAAAACCGGTTGACAAAGGTAGGTATCAAAGACTGGTTGGGAGGTTGATCTATTTATCTCACACTCGTCTGGATATTGCCTATGCTGTAAGTGTGGTGAGTCAATTCATGCACTCACCAAGCATGGATCATATGGCGGCAGTAACGAGAATCTTGGCTTATTTGAAGTCTGCACCTGGTAAAGGGATATTGTACGCGTGTCATGGACATATGAGGATTGAGGGTTTTACTGATGCTAATTGGTCAGGTGATGTGACTGATAGAAGGTCTACATCTGGGTATTTTACATTTGTTGGAGGTAATTTGGTCACTTGGCGAAGCAAGAAACAAATTGTAATATCAAGATCCTCTGCTGAAGTCGAGTATAAGGGAATGGCACAGGGTGTGTGTGAGATTCTTTGGCTACAGAAGTTACTTTGGAGTCTCGGTTTTAAACAGACAGAAGCAATGGAGTTGTATTGTAATAATAAGTCCACTAGAGAAATAGCTGAGAATCCAGTACAACATGACATGACTAAACATATGGAGGTTGACGAACATTTTATCAAAGAAAAGCTTGCAAACATTCTTACCCATGCCGTGTGTAGTAGGCGTTTTGATGATTCACTAGTCAAGTTGGGCATGAGTAATATCTATGCTCCAACTTGAGGGGGAGTATTGGAATAAGTCAATGTTTAAGACAAAAGGAATGTAAATATTATGCAATTATTAGTGTCTTGTTTAGGATGGATAATATGTCCTTTATTTGTTTCCTTTTGTAACAAGGATTGTATGTACCTATTTACACAGAATTATGGAATATACGAGATTAAGCCGTAAAATTCAATTGAATTTACATGACGTAAGTATACCGGTAGTATTTTGTGCTAATAAAATAAAGATATGAGTAAGTTTTTGTTCACATATCTTTGTTTTATTGGCAATCATGCCATGTGTCTGTTTACCCGTGTAATGCAAGTTGTTCTTTATTTTAGAGCATAATTGCTTCCAACGAAATAAAAGATGAATCTGTGCTCCCCTAATCCTCCCAAAGAGTTGACTCTACACGGCCGAGTTTCTCCAGAGTGGTAGTCATGATGCTTAAGAGAAGTATACCAAGAAATAAAGAGGGCAACAGGAAGAAGAATAAGAAGTTGTTTGAAGAAACTGGCATGGTGATGATCCGATATTTATTCCAATTGTGCTACAAAGCTAAAGGAATTGCTTCTTTGGAAATGGAAGCTCTAAACTGGCTCCAACATTTCAAAACATTCCAAACAAGTAAACAACTATCTATCTTTTGTACTAGATAGAAGTTAGGTTACTAAGCGTTAAGTGATGATGGAGTAGTATTGTAGTGGGCTTCCACTCTCACATTATATATGGAGCTCTAAATCCCCACACCAACCCCTTTCAATGAAGCAAATTTAGAGTTTAACTTGGATAAAATGGTCCATTTGAGGATACAATGCTCCATAAATGACATGCTAGTGAAAACCAATTTCGTTATTTGTCCGCATCATAACTTAATGTTAGTGACATCATCACTTAATGCCAATGACTCCATCACTTAACATTAGTGACTTAACAAATTTCCATTTTTCAAGACGTTATGTAATTATTTCAAAAGTTTTAAAATGTTATAAGGACCAATTTAAAAATACACCAGAAGGGTGAGTAGTAGTTATCCGTAGTATCCTTTGAAATTAAAAGTAGTACAAGTCTTAAAAAATTTCAAATTGTGAAGAACACACATATTGTAAATCTAAAAAGAAAAGTGAGATTTAGAAATTAACACGGAGGTTTTTAATCCATTCAATTAGTCTTGTTCTTTGAGAGGTTTTAGTTGCAAATTATTCTCTTAATTAATTACTTACAATTAAAACTGAAGACATTAAGGATAAGCAACGCCACAAGCAGATTGTTTTAACCTTCAGACCTCAACACAGGTTAGTATAATGCCTTTTCAATTATTATTATTTAAGAAGGGTTGTAACTTGTACGTCTTCAGTTTCCTCTTATGCTTTCACACCTTGTGTTCGGAGAAATGCGTCTGACCAAATGCTTCGACAAAGGGCGTTTTATAAGCTAACAATGCAGGCATACCCTGCCACGTTCAGCTTCACGAGCTTGTTTATCCCGCCCTCGCACTGACACAAGTAGAGATCGTATCGCTTCAAGGACCTACCTTAAAAACCCATAAACAAATGTGGTATGATGTCCGCTAAGGGAGATTACCAACTAAGTTCATACACCAGAAATTGCTGCTGTTGGATCTTTCTATATCTTAGTATTTCTTATGAGCATGTACAGTAATTTGTACACTGCACCAAAAAACTGAAACAAAAGCATCACTGAAGAAAAGCAGACCATAAGACTAAGAACAATCGACGATACATAATTCATCAGGCGTAATTTTACAGAAAGCCAACGTAGTCGTGTTCAAGTTTCAACTACTACTTACGATGCACATCAAGCTTTTGAAATACCTGGTGGCAAAGGCTTGATCTTGCCCAGCAGCTTTTCAGCTTCAACAAATCCAATTGATCCCACAGACAAATACTTTATACACTTCCATCTGTTCAAGTATAAGTAGGCATGTCAGTTCAATGAACAAGCAGGATGTAATCATGTAAGAGAAATCCCCGAGGTACAAAACAACTGTGAAAACCCCAAATAGCTTGCCTGGGTGTGTAAGGTAGTGCGAAACAATGTAGATGAAGATGGTTAACGGAGTTCAATGGAGGCTGATGAAATCCAAATCTGTCAAAAGGGAAGTCGAAAATCATAATCAAAACTCTTTTATTATTGAAATAAAATCCTATTATTTTGACCCAATCATTTCCAAATAATGATGCGCGCATGCTTGTTCTAATTCAAGTTCAAATGTTCAACTATTGTATACTCATTTAAGGATTCACAAGCAATCCCACAAACTCATTTACAGAAAGACCCACTTCCAAGGTTCTAAAAGACACTTGGCGCTAGTCTGGCGGCGAACTGGGGCCTAGGCGAACTAGGCGGATGTAGGTAAATTTATTATATATTGTGTAAATAAGTGTCTGTTTATACTTAAAAAAATATTGGAATACATACATTGTAAAATAGAATGACACATTATCATATATTAGAACATAATAAAAACATTGAACAAACATATAATGTGTGTTCATCTAATTATTCAACGTCTTTTATTAAAAAAATAAAATGTAAAATGAAAGTTATCTATTTTTTGTCTAAGTGAGAGTCACGACCTAGACGGGTGCCTAGGCAGGAGCGGGCGCCTAAGTAGGTCTAGGCACCCTTTCTTAATTTCAAACGCCTTGGATTAATCAGGGCGGTGGTCAGCACCTAGCACCTAGGCGGCGCTAGGCGGGGATTTTGAGAACAAGGCCCACTTCCAAAGAAGCCGTAAAGGGCCAAATTGGTCAGGGATACACCAAATTACATAATTAACTAACATTCACATTCTTCACCAGATCATTTCTGCATTACGCAATCTGTTTGACTGACATGATATTAGAACAAAGGGGCATCAATTATCTCATAACATCATCGTTTAGATGCATATAAATACTTTAGAAAACGAATCGATTGTTCTGTTTTCTTTCAGCTCATTTCTGCATTAAGCAATTTGTTAGGCATGCCGAAAATGCGGTGTGTAACTAATTTGGAAAGCATACTGACGTGAAACAAATCTTAACACAAATTTACACGACGTAGCTTCTCAAGATCAATCTATTTGTGCACGCAATTACAACCCCGAAAATAATACTATGAAAAAACCTGAATCACAAAGGCAATACCTGTACTGATGGCATTGCGGTGCATCTCGTTGTATTAGCTTTTTCCCCACTTCTAACAAGTGACTTACTGTATAACAACGAAAACAATGGAGAAAATAATCACGAAGCGTATCAACAACAAAAGTGGCTAAGAAATTACGAAATAAGAAGAAAAGTCACACATTGGTTCAATCATATATGATTTTAATCCAAATATACCAACAGATTGAGATTAGATTACCCAAAGAGTAGTCTTCAGGTCTCCTCTGAAGATCCTTAACACTTGGAATGTGATCCACTGGAACAACCAAGTAATGCCTACACAGGATTACATTGGAAAATGACTTAAAATTCAATTAAAATGGTAAAATTGATGAATAAAAATTCGAGAAATTACATTCTATCAGTACCTTACAGCAGCCGGGTTGATGTCTTGAAAAGCAACGACCTTTTCATCCTGCAAGAAAACCCTAGTTGACCAATTACTGAATTACAGCAACAAGATCGACATATTACGGAGAGCAACGTTTGGTTGCTGAGAAAATCGGAAGGGGATAAAGCCCGTTTGGCAGCTCAACTTTCTGAGCAACCAAACTGAGTGGAAGGGAAAATGAAATGCGTAAAGAGAGAGCAAGCAGACAGTGTGGAGGAGAGTGGTAGAGGTGGGCTTTCCAGCGATCTGGCAGAAGATGCAGGGTGAAGCTGCGGCTGCTGCTGCCGCCATCGGCGACTCTAAGCCGCGAGCAGAGTTAATGGGACTCGGACGAGTTCGGGGACCTTAGGCCATCTCTAGAGGGCTAGCAGATAGCTCGTTTTAACCTTTGGTACTCAAATATGTTAATATTTTAATAAATAGTACATGGTTATATTTGCCTTCATTTCTAATCGAGAGTAAAAGGATCATACATAATTTATTATTTAAAAAATACAACTTAAATTCAAATCCAACAGCTAAGTGATGTCAGCTAGCTGTTGGATTTGAACCAAATTTTGTAAAATAGAAGTTATAGGAAAAAAAAGAATTTAAAAAAAATATGAACCAAATTTTGTAAAATAGAAGTTATATGAAAAAAATAGAATTTAAAAAAAATATGAAACAAATTTTGTAAAATAGAAGTTATAAGAAGTTATAATACTAATACAACAAGAAAATAAATTATTTGAGAAAAGAGAGAAAATTAAACATAACTTTTCTATTTCTATGCTTGTTCAAAATTTGTACAAAATTTGACTTGAGATCGACTGGCAAGGAAGGAACAGGTTATTCATTTCGTCCATTTAGCATAACAACACAGTACAGAGTCACAGACCTCTAGTTTCTGCAATCTGTACAAAAATGTAAATAAAAAAATAAAAAATAAAAACCCAAATTGGACTGTGGACCCATAAGAACCAGCCCGTTTCAAATGGGCCGGGTTAGGTTCAGATCCTATTTTTTTTATTACCTGATTCGGGCTGTCCCGTACAGTTTTCAAATAGGTCTAGTCCGATTTCTCTAATTTTGGGCGTGGCCTGACCCAACCCATGCACACCCCTACTAATACCCTTTATTACTAAAATCCTTCGCAAAATGAAAAGCATCATCTTTCTTTCTTTTCCGTTCTCGACCATCACAGCCCACCAAAATATTATTTTTAAATGAACATTGTCAGACCATACTCATATACCATCTCCAACCAAAGGGCCCCTCAATAATTTGCTATTTTTAAGTTTATGCTTTAAATTTATGGTTAATTTAATTAAACTACCTTTGGATATTTCCAAATCTAGTCGTTGAATTTAAATCGATTATTGTAACTGAGAAGCTGGGCCCCAGAAAAAAGGCTAAGGCCATCTCTAACCAAAATGGCTAAATATAGCCCCCCCGGTCTAGAATTATAGCCTGCCAAAATAGTATTTTTAAATGAACATTGTTAGGTCATACTCATATATCATCTCCAACTAAAGAGGCTAAACATAGCCCTTTCAATAATTTGCTATTTTTAAGCTTATCCTTTGAATTTATGGCAAAAAAAGGGTTAAGAGAGGGGGGGTGGGGTGGGGTGGGGTGGTTACATTTGGCTAGCCTAATGCCCATTTGACCAAATAATGGCTTAGTAGGCTTCATAGAATTATAGCTCAGCCTTCGGTTGGAGATAAGTTTTTTGGCAAATCAGGTCATTTTTTGGCTTTTGGACCTTTAGCGCTCTTTATTGGAGATGGCCTAAGAGGGGGTTACATTTGACCAGCCTGATGCCTCTTTGGCTAAATAATGGTCTAATGGGCCCCATAGACTTATAGCCTAACCATCAATTGGAGATGAGTTTTTTGGCAAATCAGGTTATTTTTTAGTTTTTAGACCTTTAGGCCTCCCCATTGGAAAATGCCTAAAAATGATACCCTATGATACTCTCGGACGCCATTTCTCCTTTTCATCCTTTTTTTATTAATCCTGGGCACAAATCGGACATACATGAGTGTTTGCATAAGGAAGGTACTGGAAATGAGAAGATGATAGAGACAAGGAGGTTGTTTACCTCTGTACATGTGTATCAGTTTAGTTTTGCAGGTGTGCAGCTTGGCTCTCTGATTTCTAAGCATATATTTGCTCCGACAGTGGTGAGGAACAACGCATCTTGGTTTTGATTTTTGGGTTCTGCTATGGTTGCAGAGAAATGAGAGAGAGTCTCTCGAGTTTTACAAATATGAGATGCGGAAGTGAAAAGAGAGGAAGGAAGTTGAGGTGCAACTCGGGTATGCTTTGGGAGAAAATGAGAAGTTCCTGGAGAAATGAAGGAGAGACCCTTCATGGCTCTGGGCTCAAACATTGTGATGCGTGCATAAGTTCCTTCCAGGTCATGGGTTTGACACGCAAACCAGTTCTCTCACGCTAAATTGATGCGCTTGTAGCTTCCAAATCATTCCTCGCTTAGGCAAGTCATAATTTGCGTTAATCATACTATATTTAGGTCATTAGTCCAACTAAGGTATGTCCTAAGACGCATTAATTTTTTCGAGGTATCTCAGGACTTGGTGTTGAAACGAACCAGGGAAAACAAAATATTTCCACCGAGGCCCAAATCCAACTCAACCTAAAAAGTACCCCAACAATTTCTTTTTATTTTATTTTATTATTGTTACTTTTTGCTGAGAGAACAAAATTTGGTGTTGGGTTAATGTGAAGGACAATCTTGGAATTTTAAAATAAGTAAGGGTATAACGGGGGAGAAAAAATCCATTTTGATTCTCCCAATAACCCGGAATTCAATTCCCACCAAATCGTAGAGAATCCAATTCCTCCAAACTTTGGAGTTGGATTCAATATTTATGTGGGTCCCACCAATTTTTTTATTCCAAATATTTGGTAAATATCGAAGTATTCCATAATCAGAATTAAATTTCCCTTTTTTATTCCGATTGCCCATGTGTAAACATGCCATCAATTTAAGGCACCTTATCAACTTGATAAGCCTTACGCCACTGCACAACATTCAAATGAACATCCCTTTTAGACCATCTCCAATCTTTGGCGATAAAGCTTAAAAATTGAAGTCAGAAAATTTTAAGCTATAAGCCAGAAATTGCTTTTCTCCTCAAACCGTTGTGGCTTAAAATTTTAGCCCGTGATGATTAAATAATGATTTTAGCCTAATTTTTTGTTTTTGGTAACTTTTTTTGAAAATAAAATTTATGTAGATTATCTTAATTTATTTTTATGAACATTTTAGTCTAAAAATATTTAAATTTCGATAAGTAATTAAAAATCATACAAATACATATGCATTTATAAAGTTTTAAGTTAAATTTGATTTAAATAATTTTCTTAAATTATTTTAGATTTTATTTAATTTTGGGCCGTCTATATTTTTTTTTTTTTTTACTATTAGATTTGATCTCATTTGATCATAGCCGTTAGATTATAAGTAAAAACAAAAACAAAAAAAGGTTTGAGCCATGATAGTTTGGTGGGCCCAAAATAATTTAAGTCATGCTTAAATCTTGGGAGGAATCTAGCCCAGAGATATATTTTCTCCCAGAGCTTATTTTAGCCCATGGTTGGAGATGGTTTTGGGGAGGTTTTAAAGCTTATATTTTAAGCTTTATCTCATAAGTTGGAGATGGTTTAAGGGGTTTTAAAGTTTATATTTTAAATTTTATCTCATAAAGATGGTCTTAGGGTAGATAGGGAGCTAAAAATTATCTCAAAAAATATGATTATTCCTCCATTTCCAATTATCCACAACACAAAAGCAAAGACACCACACCAAGCAGTGGTATCATTCCATTACTCTTTAGACGTTAAATTAGCCATCAACCACTCATACAAATCAAGACTAAAGGCGTGACTCACCTGATTGGAAACCAAAACAGTTGATAAAACACCTTAAACCCTGCCACAATCCCTTAGAAGGTGCAAAATAGATTCCTCAGGCCAAGAACAATAACTACATGAAGCATCCGTGGTCATATTTCTTCTCATTCTCTGAGCATTAACGAGGAGTTTCCCCTTGAAAATAATCCGCAAAATTTTTTTTAATTTAGGCGGAATATGTAAATTCCGTATAATTTCCATCCCACATCAGGCTACCACCCACCATAAGAGAACAAACTAGAAGTAGTCTTCCAAACTCCCCACCCACCCACCCCCAAAAAAAAGATATCTTTTAAGATTATCAAGGTCCTTACGGGAAGCTTGGAGGTCTGCATCATATAGATAGGAATTGAACAAGTCACAGCTTGAATAAGAGTAGGCTGACTAGCCTAGGACAACAGTTTGCTCTTCCACAGCATTACATAACCTTTCCATACACCGTTTGATAATTCCAGCTTGCTTAGGAGTAGCCTCAGAAAACAAAATTAGATCATCCGCAAAAAATAAATGAGATACACCTGGACCCAATTGAGAAGTTTTCTCAGGCTTCCACACTTTTCTTCGAAAAGCCACAAAAAGTAAGTTGCGACAACTTCTCAATGCATAACGCGAACAAATAAGGAGAAAAAATATCACTAAGAGAGTGGAAGAATAAGCTAAGCCTCATAATAGGCTAGCAATAATATGATTCAAATTCGCCTTTTGACAATAATAAGAACTAAAACCTCTCACTTTCAAGCGAAGAAGAATATTACTAGACCGTAGTACTAAGTGGTTGCTCCAGGAGATTATTGAACCCCCAATAAGCTTCTCTTCCAAATTACTAAAAAAAAACATTAGGACCATTGCATAACACCTTCTGCATACCCTCCGACAGTTCTGTCAATTCTTTCAAATGTTTTTTTTTTTTTTTTTTATTAAGTGCATTTGGGACCAGTAAAATCCATGTCATAAAAATGTGGTTATTAATACACACAGAAACAAACTTATTTGCAGGTTCCTAAATTAAATACAATATTTGTGAGGGAGTTGGGGGAATATGAAAGGAGGAAGATGCAAAATTGGGAGACTTAAAGGTAAGCAAATATAGATTTAAATATGGTCAAATGAAAATCAAATTCTGTGCTCTTCCTGGGGTATTTGCAGCTCGTCATAATCGTCAACCGTAACCTGGTACAAAAGTTTCGTATTTTAGCCTACAGCAACAAAACTTCAGGATTCTGACCGAAAAACAAAAGCAAACTGAAGTGTAATACCTCATATCGGCCGCCACCATAAGTGTATTCCACGTACAACTGTTTAGGTTCTCCAGGACAGGGATCACAGAATCCCATAATGCCAGACTTCTTTACGCCTTTATGAAGCTGCCAGATTAAATTGATCAACCACAAGTGTTAAAGAAACCACTGCAGCTCTAAGAGTTCAGATTTATTCTGGTTACAATAGACTC